TCAGCATGGCTGGCCACAAATGCTGAGCCCAAGGGGAAGGAAGCTCTGTTTTCTGGTCAATGCAGTATTGTTCTCATCACCGTGGGAACGTAACAACTTGCTGCGTAAATACACGTATTTTGTAGCATACAGAAGTGATGGATGTGATTACATCCTTCCCGAACATTACTGTTGACTTTTAACCACCATGTGCCCAGGCAGCTACAGGTGCTTTGTTCCTTTGTTTTAGCATGATGTATTCAAAAGTCCCTGTTGGGCAAGACCTAAGTGTCCTAATTCCACAAAGGTCTGCATTCGCTGAAGTTAAAATTGCGTCTCTACCTTTTTCTATAATGGGCGGCTGAATAAAGGAAAAAATGAAGTGGGAAAGTTCTATACCAGTTACATCAATGAGCAGAAAAATAGGATGTATATGGAAGATTTTCCAGCGAAAACCAGGAAGAGCCAAATTTAACTGCTAGTCCTTTTAGATTCTTGCACCTGGTTATTTACCCAGGTAATTATATACTAGTGGTCTTCATAAAGCCAAAGATCGCTAGTAGATAAGGTTAAGTCCATTAATCCAGTTGTCATTATTCCAGTCCCAGGAATGGCCCTACGTCTCTATCACCTCTTTCAGGAACAGGTGCCAGAGCAAGAAATGCATTGTGAACACCATAAATTGGCACTCTTCCAACCATCTTTGGTCTGAAGAAAACAATAATAAGGGAGCAACATACTCTTTGGCAGTAGTGTACTTTTCTCTCATTCTCAGCTGTAGTTTGAGCCTGAGACTCTTAACATACTGCTAGTTGGAAATAGCTGCTTCAGATTCATGGCAGCTGCTCCACTGCCCCCTGCTCTAGGCTACAGAGGTTCCCCTGGGCATTTACTTGCATGTAAGAAGACTGCACATTGCTCTTACCCACCTGTTTTTGTTGTGGTAGTTTTCTGATTCTTTTTCTGGAGCCTATGCAGTAATAAATAGGTCAACATAATCACTTTCCTATGAGAAAGAAATGTAGAAATACTATTTTTATAAATGAGAAAGAGTTAAAGGGGGGAGGTTAATTGACTAATTTCCTGTATTTTTAGGGAGTATTGCCATTGTATCTGGCCTGTTTCCCAACTTAGATCCTTCAGCAGCACAGTTCTCCCCAGACAGCTGTCATTAAGAGTGATGAGGGAAAAGATGCTTGCTTAAAAACTGGGATGGCCTAAGGAGAGTGGATTGCAGTGTTCTGGGAAACCAGCCTGTCCACAAGAGACACGAGAGCCAAAAGCATCTCTGTGGGCCACAGCTGCTGTGTTTTGGTTACAGTTAGGACTTTCTGTAAAGGGGCAGTTACTGATACAGAGGACTACTCTAGTAAAAGTCATAGATGCTGGATGGGAGCCCAAGAGCTGATGTGCTTCACCCTCCTGTTCTTGTGGAGCTCTAACCACGAAGATGCCACAGTCTCTTGAGGAAGTCTTAACCGCTTTTCAGTGCTTCTCTATCTGTATAATGCCTAACATGAATGTCCTAGGTGTATGAGCTCATGATTTATTGTCCTGTCCAGAACGTTCACAGAGGAGAGATTGTTTCCTCCCTCATTTTAACACCCTGTGAAAACTGTTACAATCTTATAATACAACAGTTTTGGTTGGAAGGGACCCCTGGGAGTCAGCTTGTCCAACCTCCCGCTCAGAGCAGGGCTAACTTCCAAGTTAGCCCTGGATCCTATCTGGGCAGGGTTCGAGTGTCTCCAGGGACAGAGATACCGCAATGTCTCTAGGCCCCCGTTCCAGTGCTGCCAGACCCTTGTATGACTTTGGATTGGTGTAGCCTTCTTATAACAGGACAGTACTGTTGAGTTATGGTCATCTAGTGACCTCCAGCAGTCTCCTGACCTTTCCCTGTAGGACAGCTGTATTTCTAACTGAATGGTCCAATTCCCTGTCCTGTACTTCAGTAGCTGATTGTCTCTGCCTAAGTAATATTTTGCATTTGATCCTATTGAATAGCATCCCATTTATTTCTGACCCAATTTCCAATGTTGGCAGGATCATTTTGCGTTATAAACCTGTCCTCCAGCAGACTAACAGCCTTTCCCAGCATGATGCCAGCACATTTGATAATCATACTCTCTTTTACTGAAAAATATAATATTCTCTTTCCTTTTGTGGCTGGATGTATAGGTTCATTTGTTTGCACCTCTCCAATAGTGATGACACAGAAGTGCAGAGAAACGGTCAATCTGTGCTGGATTTTGTTAGTACAAGTGCTGCAAAGATAAAATAGCAAATGGAATTGATTCAAAAGCCATTTAAAGGCAATTCCAGTGTGTTCAGCATGTTTGAGATCAAAGTCTAACAGAAGAGACAAGTTATCTGGAGCCTTTACAGAGAGGAAGAATGTTTCTAAATAAGTATTTAAATTGATTTATTTAAAATTATTTACTTTTAAAAATAATGATTTGAAAGCTAGCTCTTGGTGGGAGCTCTGTGCACACAATGAGCGTGTTTGGCCTTGAGCGCATGTATCTGGTTTTAGTTAAGCTGGCCACACTCATTCCGCCCTGCACATGATCTCATTCCACGTTCCTTGTCATGGTATCTGCACACCATCCAGCAATATATTAACAGCATGAGTAACGTGTCATATGTTGATTATTCTGTCACTAAGGGAGAAGTTTGTCTTGTCTAGTAAGGAGTAGAGATTATTTTAAACAAAGCTCCATACTTCTGCTGGAAAAAAAGTCAAAAACTATGCCCTGCACTAAGAGAAGGATTTGGGAAGGTGTATGCTAGTCTTGGGGTCTTTGGTAAGGCCATCTTGGGACTCAGACCAGCCACTCAGCCAGAGAAGATTGTGGTTCCTTCACTGATGAGCGCTCCTCGCACTCCTCACACAAAGCGGTCCTTTGCACTGCTGCCAGCGTTCTTCATCAGTTCATACTCTGTGACACTTGGGACATCTCCAAATTCTCCTATTAGCCCAGGAAAAAAAAAAAAATCTCTTAATAGGCTTTATTTTGCATTTAAAGTGACCAGGCTGGTGTTAGAAATGCAACACGCCATGTGCGAGCTGAATGGAAGCAACGTCTCCAGGCTGCAGGGAGGAGTGGGAAGGCTTGAAAACCGTGTTCAGCTGTTCATTATTCACATTTGGTATGTGTGCAGTGACCGAGCTGAAATCTGTGCCCCTGCTGGGCCTGTTTACAGTATGCGTTACCCACAGGGCAAGTTTTCTGCTAGGGTCATCTGTCAGATTGGAAAGGAAGGGGCATGGCTAGTGGCTGTCATTAGACGCTGCCCTGCTCTCTGTGCATACTTAGTGAGCCGAACTCCAGCCTCAGCTCCCATCTGGGCGATAAACGAGGCTGCTTTCTACAGTGTCTCATGTGTGAGGGCCCTGAAGCCCTTTGCAGTCAACCTCAGACTGCACTCGTGAGGAAAGCACTCCTCGTTTGAACAGTAATGAAACTGAGGGACTGAAGGGTGAAGTGACTTGCCTGTTGTCCCATATGCAGTCCGCAGGGCGGATTTAGACCCATACACGGCCTCCCCAGGTCCCTGTGCTGTACTTTAACCGCTCAGTCTCGTTCTGCTAAAAAGGGCAGGAAATCCTGGCATTTGCTGCTGCTCTCTTTTTAGTTTGCGCTCCATCTGAAGTTGGCACTTGGAGTCCCTGCTTCCTGGGCTTGGTCCTCATTTGCTTGATAGCCTCTCTGTAAATAGGAACTGAAGGACCTGTTCTGGCGCATGCTCCTTTTCCTGGCCTCCAGCTGCTTTTTTCCTCTGGAGAATAGGCTCAGACTCATCGAGGACACTGTGGAATCAAACCCTCTGTCTCTCTGCTCCTTATATGGTAACATGAAGACGTCTAAGCATTTTAGCTCTGATTTGGAGCTACCCCCGCTTGTTTTTTCCCTGCTTGTTGAGGAATGAGAAAACTGTGGACAAACTAGTTCTTACCACCAAGAACCTATACCTTGGTTCATGCACTTGTGTGCTACTGCCTCACCACTATATTTTATTGCGGTCCAGGCTGCATGGTTAGCAATGAATTCCCCCTGCAAAACCTTTGCAGCAGCCAGGCTTGTAAACATCCCCCTTGAGCTTTTCTTCTGGAAGGAGCTTTAAGTTGCTTGTTATTATAACAGTGGTAGAAGAAACAGGCTGAGATGGAGGGAGGATGCAAGGCAGGCTCTGGAGCAGAATTGCCTTCTCTGGCAAACAGTGCACTAACACACATCTGCTAGTGAGCTGTGCGAGCAGGAGGCAGTGGAGCTGGAAACTCCTAGAAAGGACCTTCAGGGGCTCTGCACCCTTGAGCAGTCACATCCAGGCAAGCAGGGAGCAGAAGAAACATTGCTGTTTTCAGGGATGGGGGAAAGCATCCTTGTTCTGCATTTGGGTCACTTTTCTCTTGGTTGGCCTGAAGAGGTTTCCACCCAGATTTCTGAGCAGAGCAGTGACCAGAGCTCAGGTTTTCCAGACAGGAATGCCCTCGTATTCATCTCTGGGAAGTCCTTGTGTGACTTTGCGTGGCTCTGTTGGAGCCTGGGATGTATTTTGCTCTGGGTTAGTATAGAGTGTTTCAACCAGGTGATATGTAATTGGGCTGGAGTCCAGCCCAGCCTGCTGCAGGCTGTGTCTCCCACTGGCTACAGGCCCAACACTGGCTATAGTGCTAAGGGCACACATCAGGATGAAACCATAAAGGAAGTAACTGCATTTAATGACTTGTGACCCTTCGACGGGCAGAAGCAAAGCGTTATGAGGGCTAAAGGAACTCCAGCTAATTTGAGGGGCTGTGGAAGCCCGATGGCTCTTCTGGGCCAACTGCTATTATTTGGAAAGGTGTGTGAAATTTTTCTTTATCATTTCCCTAGATTTAATGCTGATGAGACGTGAATCCTCACAAGCACTGAGAGTTGCACAATGCAGCTTACCCCCCCTCTCCCCCCCAGTACTTTGGGCAAACCCAATTAAAAAAAAAAACAAAAAACTGGATTTCTTTTCTCTTGGTGCAGGTTCCACCATATTAGCTGAGCGGCTGGGGCTGTCTACACCAAGCTCACCCACATCAGCACCAAATTCGCCTACCGTCCTCTGCAGTGGTGTCTCTGACCCCATATTGTCTACATGTGGCTCTGGCCCACTCTGCAGCTCCATCAGTGGTAAGTTTGGTTGGATTTTTCTTTTTTTTTTTCCCCCTGCTCCTTGCATTTGCCTTCCCTTGCCCTGCCTCCCTCCTCCTCCTGCACTGCCTCCCTTCACAGTCTTAGGCTTATCTCCCAGAAGGGCTCTAAAGGCACAGTGATGGATGGAGGCTCCTGTCAGCTCCCCTAGGGAGGAAGGAAGAGCCTCTGCAAAAATCTATTTTCTGCCTGTTTTTCATGGAGGCTGCTTAGATGCCTAGACAGTAATATTTCTGCAACTGCTTTCATCATGAACGGTCCCAGAGGAGGCAGCAAAGTTTCTATGTTATGTGCGTGGCCCTGTGACGCAAAGCTTCTTCCGGAGAGCTGTGTAGCAGTGATAATGATGCACACTAGCTTAGGCTAGAGCTAGGAATATGCGTAATTCACACCCATTTTCAATCTCTTCACACCTACAGTACCTCCTTCAGAAAACGTCTGTATTGATATTTCTAATACCCTGATGAAATCCACTGAGATTGTGGATTCCACACAATAAATAAATGTACATGCAATAGAAAATGGTAAGGTGTAATGCAGCATTTTCTTAAACCCCAAGGACCTGTGTGATCCTAAGGCATTGATGGTGGGCGGTATAACTTACCAAGTCTCTGTCACTGCTGTCCAAACCAAGGTTGTTTTCCTTTGAAGGTACCTCTCAGTGTCAGGTCTAATAACTGGTGACAGCAAGCATTCAGATTCTTAATGGCTTTTAGGGGGAAAAAAATTATTTTATTATCTTGCTACCTCAGCTGGCTTCATTGGGAGGCCTAGTCACGGGTGTGTGGTGAGCATAAGTACTGCAGTCCCTTGTAGCCCTCATAGCAAGGTGCCCACTAGGTGCTAGATGCTGTCCATATGGTACCACCCCACTGCTCAGCAGGGCACAGTGGACCCACATTCCTGGGGTAGCCCTAGAGATGAAGCACTGATCATCTCAGGAGCTGCTGCTGCCATGTGCTGCCTGGTCTCTGCCTTGTCAAAGCAGACAGCTCTCACCATCCCTTCTAATTTGTCCTCCTTCATTAACGTTTAGACAGCGGTTTGAAAAAAGTGGCACTGCTCTTTGTCCTTGCTGCCGGGAAGAGCTGTGTCTTGATTTGCTCTATATGGGTGGCAGATCCCAGTGGCTGCGGCTGCTCTGCTGCCCTGCGCTTTTGCATGTGAGCGCAGGCTTGTACCTGGGTGGGTGAGGGAGCAGGTCGCAGGCAGGACTCTGGTCCTGGAACATCCGTATCAGCCAGGGCACCACGCAGCTGGCACTGGGTCAGCAGTTACCCCGGGATGTCCAGAAGGCTTTTATGCAGCATGACTGACCCTCTTCCTTGCGTTTCAGGCACAGCGCCCAACTCTCCAGTCAGCTTGCCTGAGTCACCCATCTCTCCGTCCGTCTCAGGGCCCTGGGGAGATGAATGCACCATCTGCTATGAGAACATGGTAGACACAGTCATTTACTCCTGTGGACACATGTGTCTCTGCTACTCATGCGGGCTGAAGCTCAAGAAGATGGCCAATGCTTGCTGCCCCATTTGCAGACGGGCCATCAAAGACATCATAAAAACCTACCGCAGCACTTAGAGCAACAGCAGATGCTGGTGCAGGACCGGGGAGGCGGGGAGAAGGCTGTGAAATAACACAGGTCCTGGTCTCTATTCAGCACCTGGGCGATTCAACAGCCACCACCACCCACCGCTCCGATCCCCTCTTCGACAGACAACAGTCGAGACCAGCTTAGCAGCTGCTTTTCTGCCCTCCGAGCAAGCCCTGGGGCTGAACTCCTGTGCGTCAGGGAAGTCATCACGGACTGCTCTCCCCCTTGGATTTTAAACTTTATCTCAAAAAAAACAAAAAAACAAAAAACCAAAAAAAACCAGCTGGAGCAATCGTCCCTTTTCTACACCATGCGCAGAGGCAGGGAGGCTTCAGTGCTTGGCAGGGACACTAAGCGGGAAGCGGTGCGACGCGGCACGTCTGCTGCCGAAGAGCCGCAGCGTGCAGAGGGCAGCTGAGCAGAAGAGGAGAAACAAGCAACACGTTTCCGCGTGCAACTCGCCCGATGGTAGGAAGCCCCCTGAAAGGCCGGAGCGAGGCGAGCTTTCAACCGGGGTGAAAAACGCAGCGAAGCTGTGCAAAGCAAAAGGACTGGGGCAGGTACAGGCGAGAAGCTAGAAATCAAACAGCCCAAATCCCTCCTGCGGTCGAGCAGCCCTCAGCGATGGCTCCCGGGCTGCCCCCAGCCCCTCCTTCCCCCAATTGCCTGACTAGCAACCCTTCTCCCCACCTCCCCT